GGATAAAAAACAACTGCACTCCAAAAGCCTCATAATAAACATCTTTTATCATAAAAACTACTTGATATTGTTTTCCCAAACAAAATTAAAGTAACTACCATATTCTGTAGGCATATGCTTACCTAAGTACACTATAGTCATTGGATCAACTCTCAATTCCATCCCGCTTCCATCGCTAAGTGTACCATTCACTGCTGCTTCTCTCAGAACCGTTTCTACATCATTACCTGTTATATCTTGGTCAGGAGTGCTCAGCTCTGTATTAGCAATAATGCTCCCATTAAAAAAGTTTACAACTCTACATCCTGATGACACAATGATGGAAGAAACACTATTTTGGACCTGTATGTATAATTCAATGTGAAAATGATAATATTATTGTACTACATTTACTACAAAATTGTTATTAACATTAATAAAATAATCATAATAACATTAATAAATAACAACAACAATAGCACCAGCTGTATAATATATAGTCGTAGTAATAAAACATTTATTAGATGTAGTAGGCTCTGAACGATAACTCAAAATGCAGGTTTTGAAATAGCCGCCTTTGTAGTGGCACCATGTTCTCGTCTATTATTTTGTGCTTGTCTAAGGGTATGATTTAATGCCCACAGTTATAATTTTTGCTAAAAAAAAACTTACAACAGCACACACAAATCCTTCAGTTTCTTTAAACTTTTCTGAATTTGGATCCTCCAAATCGGATGTGAAGTTTACTGGATCACCATTTATTCCAGTAATTGTCAAACTAAATGTTAACACGTTGGTAGCTATGAGAGAAGTTGTTAAGTCTTCTGTAAAATAATGGATTAAAAACAAATTCTTAATAGAAGAACTTGTAATAATTATATAATAGTTAGTTTTACACTATATTAATTAGTTAATATAGACTCATTTTTAAGCATTACCTGATGGCGTGGTTTTGACTGTTGTCTTGTCCGTAGCGGCCACAGTTGTCAAGTTCTCTGTAAAATAATGGATTCAATATGCAATAATAATAGAGGCACTTGTAATAATTATAGCATAAACAACATGTTATTTATAATACAAGTTTTCCACTATTGTTAGTTAGTTAAACTAGACCCATTTTTAAGCATTACATGATAGTGTGGTTTTGACTGTTGTTTTGTCTGTAGTGGAAAAAGTTGTCAAATCCTCTGTAAAATAAAGGATTCAATATACATGAATAACAGAGGTACTTGCAATAATTATATTATAAACAACATGTTATTCATATACAAGTTTTCTACTATAGTTAATTAGTAATATACTAGACACATTTTTCAGCATTACCTGATGGTGTGGTTGTGACTGTTGTCTTGTCCGTAGCAGCCACAGTTGTCAAATCATCTGTAAAATAAAGAATTCAATATACAATAATAATAGAGGCACTTGTAATAATTATATCATAAACAACATGAATATTCATAATACACGTTTTCCACTATAGTTAAATAGTTAAACTAGACTCATTTTTAAGCATTACCTGATGTTGTGGTTTGAACTATTGTCTTGTCTGTAGTCGCCACAGTTGTCAAATCATCTGTAAAATAATAGATTCAATATACAATAATAATAGAGGCACTTGTAATAATAAACAACATGTTTTTCATAATACAAATTTTTCACTATTAGTTAAACTAGACTTATTTTTAAGCATTACCTGATGGTGTGGTTGTGACTGTTGACTTGTCCGTAGCAGCCACAGTTGTAAAATAATAGATTCAATATACAATAATAGAGGCACTTGCAATAATTATATAATAAACATGTTATTCATAATACAAGTTTTCTACTATAGTTAATTAGTTAAACTTGACTCATTTTTAAGCATTACCTGATGGTGTGGTTGTGACTGTTGTCTTGTCTATAGCGGGTACAGTTGTCAAATCATCTGTAAGTTAATGAATTTAATATACAATAATAATAGAGGCAATTGTAATACTTTTATAACACACAGTTGTCAAAACTTCTGCAAAATGGATTCAATATACACTATGATATAAAGGCACTTGTAATAATTACATCACTCTTAAACAACATTTTATTCATAATACAA